CACTAGAGGCCCCGCTCCTACCACAGGCACATAGAGAGATCCAGAGATCCAGCAGGACCTCCACTCCCAGCTGTCCCAGTCCCGTAAGAGGAGCAGGGAGGGTGGGGAGGAACCTCAGGCCTCCACATACTCCAAGAGGAGCAGGGATGAACACTCTCATACAACCCACAGGATTTTGAACCCCAGGCACTGAAATTACTTTGAAAGTTTACTAATAAGTTTACTGAGAATTTAGAGTTTTAAGATATTTTGGTAAGAATTGTAATTGTGACGTTCTGGCTCCGGGACTCTTAGTAGTGAGCCAGGGTTGTCATTTTCATTTGGGTGTAGTTCTATGTGGGATCTAGTTGTTTCATTTCTATGTTTGGTTTTGATGTTGATTTAGTCATATGACTCCCAATCGGAGGTAACGAGTGTCAGCTGTCGGCTCGTTATCTCTGATTGGGAGCCATATTTATACTGTGTGGTTTCACCTTGGTTTTGTGGGTTTTTGTTTCCTTGTTGCTGTTAGTCATTATCAGTATTGAACTTCACTTTCGTCATATTTGGTTTGTTGTTTTGATCGTGGTTTCTTTATAATAAAATCTACGATGTTCGCTCAACACGCTGCGCTTTGGTCTCCTCTTTTTGACGATCGTGACAGAAAAACCCACCATAAAAGGACCAAGCAGCGCGTCCAGGAGCAAAGGGTCTGGACATGGGAGGAACTGTTGGACGGTAAAGGGTCCTGGACTTGGGAGGAGATCCTGGATGGTATGGATCGCCGACCATGGAACGAGACGGTGGAGAGGCGACGGCGAGAGGAGCAACGGCATCGGCAGGGCCATCGTCGGAAGGACGGGAGGCAACCCCAAAAAATTTTTTTGGGGGGGCACATGGCTTGGGCGGCTGGGCAGCAGGAGGCTGCCACAGGGAGAAAAGAAGAGAAGGCTAACGGAGTACGGGAGCCATTGGCGAGTAGAGGGAGGGAAGTGTGTGTGGCACGGCGTGAAAGACTGATGTGTGTTGCCAGTCCGGTCCGGCCCGTTCCTGATCCTCGGTTGAGGCCAGTGGTGTGTGTTCCCGGTACGGACCGGCCTGTTCCTACTCCAAGCACCAGGTCCAAGGTGTGCTACGCCAGCCCGGCCCGGCCTGTTCCGGCCACTCGCACCAGGGATACGGTGCGCGTCGCCAGCTCAGCCCGGCCTGTTCCTACTCCACGCACCAGGGATACGGTGCGCTTCGCCAGCCCGGCCCGGCCTGTTCCGGCCACTCGCACCAGGGATACGGTGCGCGTCGCCAGCCCAGCCCGGCCTGTTCCTACTCCACGCACCAGGGATACGGTGCGCTTCGCCAGCCCGGCCCGGCCTGTTCCGGCCTCTCGCACCAGAGATACGGTGCGCGTCGCCAGCCCAGCCCGGCCTGTTCCTGCTCTCCGCACTAGGCCTTATGTGCGTCCCCAGGGTCCAGCATGCCCTGTTGCTGCTCTCCGCACTAGGCCTTATGTGCGTCCCCAGGGCCAAGCATGCCCTGTTGCTGCTTCCCGCACTAGCCCTGAGATGCGTGTCCTCAGCCCGGTACCTCCAGTTCCGGCACCACGCATCAGGCCTACGGTGCGTCCCCAGGGCCAAGCATGCCCTGTTGCTTCTCCCCGCACTAGCCCTGAGATGCGTGTCCTCAGCCCGGTACCTCCAGTTCCGGCACCACGCATCAGGCCTATGGTGCGTCCCCAGGGCCAAGCATGCCCTGTTGCTTCTCCCCGCACTAGCCCTGAGATGCGTGTCCTCAGCCCGGTACCTCCAGTTCCGGCACCACGCACCAGGCCTACGGTGCGCCTCAGACGGCCAGAGTCTGCCGTCTGCCAAACGGGGCCTGAACTGTCCGTCTGCCCAACGCCGTCTGAACTGCCCGTCTGCCCAACGGCGCCTGAACTGTCCGTCTGCCCAACGCCGTCTGAACTGCCCGTCTGCCCAACGGCGCCTGAACTGCCCGTCTGCCCAACGCCGTCTGAACTGTCCGTCTGCCCAACGCCGTCTGAACTGCCCGTCTGTACTGAGCCTGCAAAGCCGCCCGTCTGCCATGAGCCTTCAGAGCCATCCGCCAGACCGGAGCCGCTAGAGCTCTCCGCCAGACGGGATCAGCCAGAGCCTTCCGCCAGACAGGATCAGCCAGAGCCTTCCGCCAGACAGGATCAGCCAGAGCCTTCCGCCAGACAGGATCAGCCAGAGCCTTCCGCCAGACAGGAGCAGCCAGAGCCTTCCGTCAGACCGGATCAGCCAGAGCCTTCCGCCAGACAGGAGCAGCCAGAGCCTTCCGCCAGACGGGATCAGCCAGAGCCTTCCGCCAGCCATGAGCAGCCAGATCCGTCAGCCAGCCATGAGCAGCCAGATCCGTCAGCCAGCCATGAGCAGCCAGATCCGTCAGCCAGCCATGAGCCGTCCAGCCAGGATCCGCCAGAGCCGTCCAGCCAGGATCCGCCAGAGCCGTCCAGCCAGGATCCGCCAGAGCCAGCCAGCCAGGATCCGCCATTTAGTCAGGTGCTGCCCCTTAGTCCAGTGCTGCCCCTTAGTCCAGTGCTGCCCCTTAGTCCGGTGCTGTCCCTCAGCCTGGTGCTGCCTCTTAGTCCGGTGCTGCCCCTTAATCCAGGTGGGTTTAAGTGGAGGGTGGTCATTGGGAGGAGGTTAAGAAAGCGGGTAGTAACTATAGTGGGGTGGTGGTCAAGCCCGGAGCCGGAACCGCCTCCGGGGAGCAACACCCACCCAGCCCTCCCCTATTGTGGGGTTGTGAGGCGCGGTCGCAGTCCGCGCCTTTAGGGGGGGGGTACTGTGACGTTCTGGCTCCGGGACTCTTAGTAGTGAGCCAGGGTTGTCATTTTCATTTGGGTGTAGTTCTATGTGGGATCTAGTTGTTTCATTTCTATGTTTGGTTTTGATGTTGATTTAGTCATATGACTCCCAATCGGAGGTAACGAGTGTCAGCTGTCGGCTCGTTATCTCTGATTGGGAGCCATATTTATACTGTGTGGTTTCACCTTGGTTTTGTGGGTTTTTGTTTCCTTGTTGCTGTTAGTCATTATCAGTATTGAACTTCACTTTCGTCATATTTGGTTTGTTGTTTTGATCGTGGTTTCTTTATAATAAAATCTACGATGTTCGCTCAACACGCTGCGCTTTGGTCTCCTCCTTTTGACGATCGTGACAGTAATAAATGTGTTACTTGTTCTTTAACTCTTTAGTGTTGTGTTAAAATCACATACAGTAGGCTAGTTAATGTGGATTTGTGCAGAATGAAAGAAAGATGGTAGAAGAGGCAAATAATATCTGGATATAGAAAGAGATAAGGGGTAGTTAATTACTGCAGTGGGCTAAATCTACTTTGAAGCAAAAGTATACACCTCACACACATGGTTATGGGCTTTTAAAAAAGAAGACACCTGTACCATGTCAGGTACAGAGTTCAAATGATTTCAATTTTGAGTTTGCATCCCAATATTACACTTTATATACAGTGCCTTCGGAAAGTATTAAAACTGATGATGCTAAACATGACCAATATATAGCCAACTCCTGTGGTGTACAGTATATAGGGCATTGCACTTTATCAATCTTAATTTTGGAGATTGCATTGCTTTTTATTTGTATCTGCTTGTGCCAGTTAAATGCATTATTCATGACAGTCCCAAAGCCAATGCTAGGCCTACATTAGGCATTGAGTCTGGAGTGGCTTATTTGACTTTTCCTGTTTTTCGGCAGGTTTCAGCCTGCATGAGAGAGTGATGTTAAAGGAATGCAGCAGAGTAAGGACCATCACGAGATACAGCGAGCACAGACGAACACAACCAATAGGGCATGTACTCTGTTACCTTGACAACAGGGACACACCCAGATCAGTCAGTTATCATGTTGAATTCACCAAGTCTAATCTCTAACCCCCTCTCTCCTCTCCCTCCCTCTCTCACACACACACACACACCCTCGCTATAGGCTACACACACTCACAATCAGACAGGCGTTGCCTGTTCTCTATAAATTCCTGAACAAACTTTCTCACAGCTCTTGCGCAGTACGCTACGTCCCTACCCTGTTCTTTTAGCCGCTCACCTCTGTTCGGTAAGTAACCGTTTTTCACTTATTCTACTACAACTATTGGTGTCTTTAGTTTAACGGAGTAGGTTATCTACTGTAATAAACAGGTCTCACACAACTGTAATAACTGTTTCGAATTGGGACTAGCTACTGATCTGTCTCGTCCGGCAAACTTGTAGGCTAAAATGTTCATTAGTCTTCACTTGCTTTGAATAAAAAATCAGTTATTTTATGGTTTACTATGCAGGTGGATGGGCCAAACTATTTACTGATTATGATAATGTAGTCTATATATAGGCTAACCTTTTCATGTTTCATTGAAGCAATGTTTTTGTTTTAGAACTCTATTAGGCCTACAAACGTTTTTCTCAGCGGGTTCAAGTCATTTTATAGGTGTTACTCACCAATTGGCAACAGCCTAATTTCTTTACACTGAACTGTTGCAAAACCCTTTCCTCTCCTGTCACACCCCATCTCCATCAATAAATCCCCAAACGTTGACAGTTATAATGATGTGTCACAGGGTCAAGCTATGACAGAGGTTAAAGGACAATCTACACAGCTAGGGATGTTGGATGTTCCCAAAGAAAGGGGGAGGCACCAAAAGAAAGAGGAGGGGTCAGAGGTAGCGGGAATGTGTAAAGGAGTGGAAGATGACAGTTTAATTGCCAGGAAGTAACAGCAGCCAAAGACTGTGCTTACAGAGACAAAGAAAGCCAACTCCCATCCTCCCTAAATGTGCATTTTTAGTTAGTTTGCTGCAAAGGGATAGTTCGCTATTAGTTCGCATATTAGTGCCATCAAGACACTCTCTGTACTATGTATTTGCCACTGTAATTTACACCATCCCACCCTCTCCCCTCCCTCCCTCTCTCCCCTCCCCTCCCTCGCTCTCTCCCCTCCAATCTCCCCCCTCCCTCTCTCTCCCCTCCCCAGTGTATCAATATCTCTGCCGTCATGCCGTCTGAGTTGGAGAGATCCATGGAGTCCCTGATCACGGTGTTCCATCGCTATGCCGACAAGGACGGTGACAGCAACACACTGAGCAACAAGGAGCTGAAAGAACTCATGCAAACAGAACTGGCCAGCTTCCTCAAGGTACCAGATACATTAATCTCTCTCTCTCTTTTCTATCCCTCTGTTTTTATCTCACTGTCCCTCTACACTTTCTCTCTGTTGCTCATCTCACTCCCTTTCCCTCTCGTTATGATTTCTCTCTCACTTTGTTAGAATAAAGAGTATCCAAAGTCAATCTAACTTCCTCTCCCCTCCTCCCATCTTTTGCACTCTCTCTCTCTCTCTCTCTCTCTCTCTCTCTCGCTCGCTCGCTCTCTCTCTCTCTCGCTCTCTCTCGTTCTCCCTCGCTCTCTCTCGCGCTCTCTTACTCTCTCTCGCTCTCTCTCTCTCTCTTACTCACTCTCTTCATCTCCTCCATCTCACCTTCCCTCTCAGTCCCAGAAGGACCCAGCCGCCATAGACAAAATCATGAAGGATCTGGACCAGAATGGTGATGGGAAGGTGAACTTCGAGGAGTTTGTCTCTCTGGTGGTGGGCCTTTCCATCGCCTGTGAACAGATCTACCAGCTCCACATCCTGAAGGTTGCCGGCAAGAAATGAGGGAGGACAGGACTAGGAGAAAGAGAAGCAGAAATGGATGCTTTTCTATATGTCATTTTTATAAATAAGTCTTACTGTTGTGAATAAACACTGGCTTTCCCAAACTGTATCTTTGTCACATTTGTCTGACCTGTGTCTGTGTTGTATTTGGCCTGTAATTTGTCCCATAAGTGTAAGACAGAATAGACAGTGCCAGTCACGATCCATCCATCTTCAGTTTTCTCCTATCACAGCCATTAAACTCTTTAACTGTTTTAAAGTCACCATTGGCCTCATGGTGAAATCCCTGAGTGGTTTCCTTCCTCTCTGGCAACTGAATTAGGAAGGATGCCTGTATCTTTGTAGTGACTGGGTGTGTTAATACACCATCCAAAGTGTAATTAATACTTCACCATGCTCAAAGGAATATTCAATGTTTGCTTTTTTTTTTACCCATCTACCACTAGGTGACATTCTTTGCGAGGAATTGGAAAACCTCCTTGATCGTTGTGGTTGAATCTGTGTTTGAAATGCATTGCTCGACTGAGGGACCTTACAGATAATTTTATTTCTTTTTTTACAATATAATTATTGGCATTTTTTTTACAATTTAACAATCATCAGCAAAATACGACAATCAGATAATGCCCTGTTATTCACCCCATCCTTACAGATAATTGTATGTGTGGGGTACAGAGATGAGGTAGTCATAAAACAATCATGTTAAACACTATTATTGCACACAGATTCCATGCAACTCATTATGTGACTTGTTAACTTCTACGGGATCGGTGTCCCGTATACAGGACGGTTGAGCTAACGTGTGCTAATGTGATTAGCATGATTGTTGTAAGTAACAGCAAACTTTCCAGGACATAGACATGGCTTATATGGGCAGAAAGCTTAAATTCTTGTTAATATAACTGCACTGTCCAATTTACAGTTGCTATTACAGTGAAAACATACACTGCTAATGTTTGAGGAGAGTGCACAACAACAAAAAACTTAGCACGGCAACTGGTTTGATACATTCACCTCTGAAGGTAAATAATGTACTTACATTCAGTAATCTTGCTCTGATTTGTCATCCTAAGGGTCATAGAGGTCAAATGTAGCCTAGTTTTGTTTGATAAAATCCATTTTTTATATTCAAATGTAGGAACTGGGTTCTACAGTTTGAACCCCTGCTGTCTCTGGCTCCCCACCCACCCCGCCCGGCCATCTAGATGTGTGAAAGTTAGTGTATAAGCTAATGATCCATCATGTATGACATTCCTGGGAGTGTGTAAACTTACATTTTGTATTACAATATCATTTTTGTATGTTCTCTATAGTTATGTACTTGAAAATGTTTCAATTGACCAATTCGGCACATTTGGGCAGACTTGATACAAAATAGTCCAGTATTGCAATGCTTCACTGGATCAATCTGAAACTTTGCACACCCACTGCTGCCAACTAGTGGCCAAAATCTAAATTGTGCCTAAACTGCAATATTATATTGTGGTCTTTCTCTTGCATTTCAAAGATGATGGAACAAAAACATGTATTATATTCTTCTACATTCATTTCACATTTCCACAAACTTCAAAGTGTTTCCTTTCAAATGGTATCAAGAATATGCATATCCTTGCTTCAGGTCCTGAGCTACAGGCAGTTAGATTTGGATCATTTTAGGCGAAATTTGAAAAAAAGGGTACGATCCTTAAGAGGTTAAGCACATTTTTACTCCTGAACTCATTTAGGCTTGCCATAGCAAAGGGGTTGAATACTTACTGACTCAAGACATTTCAGCTTTTCATTTTTAATTAATTTGTAAATATTTCTACAAATAATATTTTCACTTTGTCATTATGGGGTATTGTGTGTAGGCCAGTCACACAAAATCTAAATGTAATCCATTTTAAAGCTGTAACACAACATTTGGAAAGTTGTCGCTTAAACACCCAAACCAAAAGAGAATGGGTTTCAAACGGGTACTGAAACACACCCATGAAAGACACTGAAAGTTGGCAAAGCAACTAAAAAAGGGCCCTAAAAGACACCCACGATGGATGCCCACTAGATTTGCCTCAGAAAAGACTAACTTAAAGAAAACCCCACACCACCTTAGGATGGTGACTTACAAAGAATATGGACTCTGGCTTTATTGAGTCTGTCAGAATGTCTTTGAGAACTCAACTTGATCGGCTCTCTCAAGGTAACCTTGTGGGTCGTTTTGCTTGGCAGAAAATTATATTACTGGGTGGTTTTGTATTCACCAAGATAGGCTCCTTAAGTTGTTTTTGTCAGCCGTTATGACTAAGTCCCCTTTTACTTTTTGTGTGTTCAGGATCGTAAAGTTTACCTTTGAGAAACATACTGCTCCTGACATCCAGCTTGAAAACTAATTAGGCAGCTGAATCTGAATGACCAGTTGAGGAAGAATCAAATACCTGATGCCTCTACACAGGATCTTTCCCTACAAGTTGGACTGCATCATCCTGGACTGTACTAGTGTGAGAATAGGGAATCTTCGCAGGATAATGACCAAGCTGGTCAGTGGAAGTACTCCTGCTTATTCCCTCCTGTTTTCGGGAATCTTCCAACTGGGTTTTCTGAAGAACCTTGGAATTTTTGAAAAGTTACTGGAATTTAGCAAACCTAACAGTATGTGACGTTATAGTGCTTTGTGTCCCAGGTCCTGAGGTGGATGCTCTGGAGTTCAGGCTGCGTGCGTCTGCACTGATTAGCTGTGAGTGGTGCAGCTTGAGAAAGCTGCCTGTTCTCTTCTTCCAGACCAGCCCAGAGGAATGTCTGCGGCTCCGCACCTAGCTCAAAATGACCCACGACAAGGGAGGTACAACTGTGCAGGCAACGGTGAGGACTGCAGAACTGTGAAGAACACATGCCAGTTGCTAACATCAGTACATTTGACATTTTAGTCATTTAGCAGACACTCTTATCCAGAGCGACTTACAGTTAGTGAGTGCATACATAATTTTTTTATTTTTCATACTGGAATCGAACCCACAACCCTGGCATTGCAAACGCCATGCTCTACCAACTGAGCTACATCCCTGCTGGCCATTCCCTCCCCTACCCTGGACGACGCTGGGCCAATTGTGCGCCGCCCCATGGGTCTCCCGGTCGCAGCCGGGATCTCTAGTGGCACAGCTAGCACTGCGATGCAGTGCCTTAGACCACTGCGCCACTCGGGAGGTCAGTAGTCTGTATTTAGATGGGTATGTTTGTTGTTTTCCAAACTTGTCAACATTGACTCTCTGTTTGGAGAATCCTTTCTATGACATGTAGTTAAGTCTGTTACCTCACGTTCAACAAATTGTCAACAAGTCTTGTAGCTTTCCCTTCTGTCCTCATACTCCGATGAGAAGTACATCATGCTGATCTTTGAGAACGGGCTGTCGATGCACCAGCAGATGATTTTAGAGGAGATCCCACAGGACATCAGCCGAGCCAACAACCTCAACGAGTTCCCCACCAAACTGTCATTTGATGAAGCTGCCAGGAGATTGGTCAACTATAACAAAGCAACAAAAGAAAAGGTGGGATTTCTGTCCATGGAAGACTAGCATCTCAGAGCCTTTAGAGACTAGCTAACAAAATATGTTGCCGGTGTTGCCTTTCTTCGATGTCAGATTTTCAACAAACAGTTTTTTAAAACAATTCCTTCACCAAGATATTTTGGTTACATCACTTTCATGTAGGTAAACAACAACAACTACACTGCAACTATCAACACATTGGCAGCGGTGTAGAGGCGCATTGGCACACGGCAGCAGACCAGCACGTTCTTTGATGATGATGAAGACGATGATATGGCAGAGCTCCAACCCATCTTCACTGGACCAATCGTAAAGTACAAGGTTGAACTATCTCCTCCTCCTGGGTCATGTTTATTAATCAAATCAAATCAAATCAAATCAAATTTTATTGGTCACATGCGCCGAATACAACAGGTGCAGACATTACAGTGAAACGCTTACTTACAGCCCTTAACCAACAGTGCATTTATTTTAAACAAAAAAGTCAGAATAAAACAACAACAAAAAAGTGTTGAGAAAAAAAGAGCAGAAGTAAAAATAAAGTGACAGTAGGGAGGCTATATATACAATAGAATAAAGTGACAGTAGGGAGGCTATATATACAGGGGGGTACCGTTGCATAGTCAATGTGCGGGGGCACCGGCTAGTTGAGGTAGTTGAGGTAATATGTACATGTGGGTAGAGTTAAAGTGACTATGCATAAATACTTAACAGAGTATTTATGCACCATTAGGCACCAAACAGAAGAAAATTGACTGAAATAGGGAGGGACTATCTGATCTTGTCCAATAAGAAATGCTTGTTTTCATTTTCGGTTGCAAAGCATTTTGCTTCGGTGTGCCCTAATGAATACAACCCTGTCATAAGTAGATTTCTAATTTGTTTGTGTGTGTTCCTGATGGTAATCAATGGATGGTTGTGTTGTAGGTTGATGGTGTACCCCTCCTCCTCCGGCCAAGGGGGGCATATCAGTGACTAACGAAGACCTCTACCTAATGATTTAAAGAATTTGAATAACGCTATTACTTAATTACTAACCAAGAAGAGAAAGTTTGAAAAGGTGTTCCCTGGTCATCGGATACGATAGTCTCATTTCTGAGTGTGCATATCTGATTTAACTTATTTTTGTTCTTGTCAATAACAGTACTGTAGTAGACTTATTTTTCTATTGTACTGTGCTATTGTACTGTCTCCTGAGTGGCGCAGTGGTCTAAGGCACTGCATCGCAGCGCTAACTGTCACTAGAGATCCTGGTTCGAATCCAGGCTCTGTCGCAGCCGGCCGCGACCGGGAGACTCATGGGCGGCGCACAATTGGCCCAGCGTCGTCCAGGGTAGGGGAGGGAATGGCCGGTAGGGATGTAGCTCAGTTGATAGAGCATGGCGTTTGCAACGCCAGGGTTGTGGGTTTGATTCCCACGGGGGGCCAGTATAAAAAATAAAATATGTATTCACTAACTGTAAGTCGCTCTGGATA